TTTCTCCAAGAATCCAACTCTCACCAGAGTCTTACTATATACTTTCTTAAGCCACTACCCTTGCATCTTTCAACTCACAAATACAATCCAACATGCTTCCACAACATAGACAACTTTCTAATAATGAGATAATAACCCAATCATGCTTAATATCCAACATCATTATTTGACAAGCATTACTAAGTATAATAACTCACAATACACGCCGAACAATTCATGCATATCCAGGCAACAAACATTACCACAGCAATACTCAACAGTTTGGCAAAGTAGAAATCTCACCATTTTCATCGACAAATATCCAACACTACTCCAAGTAGATCGACTAACACAACGAGAATTATTTAGCACAATGACGTAACAAAATTAGCGTTAAACGCCATAAAAAAAATCAGCACGTTAGAGACCATTTAGCATACATTAACACACGCACACGCCCCTTGTCTACTTACTTTGTTATGTCTCAAAACTCCCACAAGAGTCCTACTTGCTACTACGCCATGCCTCATGCATCAACAATCTCATAACAGTCCAATATGCGATACACCAAAATGATCATATGTAAAACCAATCAATTTAAATAGTCCAACGTGATCCGACGGCTCCAACAGGCTTCGTTCACAGAAAAGGCACAACCAACAACTTAACCAAAATATAATTGATAGATATCCAGCATACATCAAACACACCCGTCTTCTCATAAATATTCAATATACTTTTGAAACAACAGATTATAGTACCGGTATACCAATTTCATCATGAAAACCAATTAGAACATAACAACAATTCAATCATAGTCATTCAAGATTACTTGGCTAAAATTTATTCACACAACCACATAATTTTCCCAATATATATCAACAGTTTTATCAACAATGACGTTTACTAAACGATAACAACGACAAGCAACATGCAAATATCACGCATGGGCACACGAGCAAACAACTATATCATATCAGCAAACAACAACCAATCCCTCCAGTAAGAAACTACTTACACAAGGTCCCAAACTGCTACTAAGCTCGTCGAAGGGTTCCTAAATCCAAAAGCATCTAAACTTGATTAGAGTTCATACTAGAAACAATTAGTTTGCATCGAAAGTAAGTTTAGATGATCCGTTGCCTACTATCTCACCATAAAACCTCTTGGGTAAGGAGTGGGTCGACGCTGAGGAGGTTCGGGTTCCCAAAATCGAGTTCCAAAGGCCAAAAGCTTGCTGCTACGACGCCAAAAAGTGATGGGTAACGCTGACTTGGGGTCCGATTTGAGGTTGGTCAGCGCCGAACCAATGCCGAATAGAGTGGGTATCTTGAGTTGAGCGTCGGTTGAGTGTGGGTAGGGGTCAAAAGTTGTTGGAACGAAGAAATCCTCACCAATCCGCCAATGTTTTCGTCAGAACCATAACACAGGTCGTTGGAGACGCAGATTCGTGTGCTGGCCACGAAATAAGCATCGCCA